AGGGCAGCGTACGACATATGCTCCGCCTCTGGAGCAGATATCGCACCTGCGACAAGTCAGAACTGTTAATATTAAGTTTCAGATCAAGAATAAAGAGAATGTGAACACCAAACATAGCATATACAGTCATACACATACAAAAACAGTTAACACCTTCTCAAGAGAAGTACTTACCTCTCTCAATATCTCTGGGGGAAAGCCTGTGGACTCAAATGACATGAATGGAGCTGGAACATTATCACCCTACACAATTAAAGTCAAAGGTGAGCGACATATGCATATAGCTGAGAAGAGGTAGAAAAGGTCTTGGACGGTAAACCATTAACGTATAGGGACAGAAGGAACGGCAAAATCAGCCAAGCGTATTCTTGAAATAAATAAAAATTATGACCAAGATCATTCACATATAACTAGTAGGCTTTGAGTGACATCATGTGTCCCAAAAGAATCAACTTGACTTTGGCAAGTTCGGATGGTGCAACCTAGTGTTTATGTGTGCCAAAGTTAAAATACTGTTGTCAGTATGAAGAGAAGAATGGCATGCTTGAGTAAATGTGCATACATACAGATAGAGCAGGTGATACGTTTGTTTTTCCCATCCTACTATATGTGCACAGTATCTAATAAAGACACTGGTGAAAAAACTACCATTTAAAATTTGGTGGAAAAGAGAATATGTCACCCATGTCCCTTCTCCATTGGACCCACAAACGTAATCAACTGACCTCATCTTCTACACTAAAACAAAAAATGAAGAAGGGGATTTCCATTTACACTTCTAACACATGCAAGAGAATCGCATAATTCTCTTACTTCTGGTATTCCGGAGAATTCGCTACAAAGCGGACCTTCAAATTATTTAGTTTGAGGGTAACCATTCGCTACATTACTGGAGATATAATGTCCTTGAGTATAAAAAGTACATCAAAAGAAGAACATTGGACTACATGGTAGCACTAGAGGAAACTCAAGAGAACAACGATAAACTTGTCTACCAATACATCATTAGATTATGTACACTGCCACCAGGATAGAACACATCCTTGGAAGGGAAAGCAAGATAGCATTCAACCTATCCCACTATTTAAGATGATGACAAATAGCATTATAAAACAAAAGTGTGGAGATTCTTTGGTCAAAAAGTTCAAACAAACCACTGTTAGTAAGCTATGAAATCCTTCAGCTATCTTACCAACCTTGTGTAAACTATCAAGTCTCCCTCAAATTTGTACAATCTGATGTTTGACCAACTGGACTTGTCAGAACGTTTTTTCTAACCCCGTTTCATAATTCTTAGGTTATTTTCATTTTTCGACAAGGAAGCTAAAGAAAGAAATTTCCAAAAAGGTTGTTGAATTACCTAAGAACCACAGCAATACTAACAGTTTAAAAGGCAGTTAAGGAGTTCAAGGTGATCAAGCAAGCAAACCGTTGCTGTTACGTCATGCTTCTGACGGTAAATATCAACAGAGGACATATTCAGAGCGTCTGGAGAAGTCATTGCTGCTTGATTTTGCATTGTCATAGGGTTATTCGTATATGGTGGACCACCAGTAGCATGTCCAAGGATGTTATGTGAGGCTGGCCCTGGCATATTATTAGATCCACCAAAGACACCTGGTGGAACATTTTGAGGCAGAGGAGCCCCAAATCTCATCTCCTAAAAGGATGTAAAGTAAGATTAATTATCATACACAATCTTGCCTTGCACACAAGAAGTGTGCATGCAATTAGAATAACACACACAAGAGAACAGGCTGACATGCAAATATCAAAAGCTTGCAACACACTCAGCTCACGTCATAATATAGTTTAGAAAAATAAAAGTAAGAACGCACTGCAGTACAGACACCATTGGATGCAAAGCATATAATAGAAAACAAAGACAGACATTACCGGCTGATTTCTTGCCATAGGAATTGCAGCAAGCTTAGGTTGATGTGGAGCAATATTCGGCCCATCATTATTAGCATTAAAATAGTGCTCGTTCCCACCTCTTCCAGGTTGATTTTCTTCAAAACCCATCTTGAATCCTACTGGTGGAACATTGGGCTGCTGGCCATGCATCTGAGTTTGACCCATTTGGTTTTGGAACCTTGGACCATGTTGCTGGTGGTGGATGCCGCTATGCTGTAACTGACCAAAAGAGGAAGGCTGTTGCACACTGAGCTGAGAGCCACCATATGGAGTGGTTTGTCCAGGTTGAACACTGGAATTACCCTCTGGAGGCAGACTTTGAACAGGTGGCACCCCAACTTGATGGATCTGGGATGGAGAGAACCCAACCTGTTTTCCTTGCTGAAAATCAGTATCCTCTCTCTGCAAGAATGCAGCCTTTTGCTCTTGTTGAGGAAACTGTTCAGGATGCTGTGTATGCTGTGGTATATTAGGCTGCCCTGCCTGAGGGATGTTCTGCTGATATCCCATGTAGTGCRACTGTTGATGTGTAAATTGGTAGCCCTGTTGCTGTCCTAACGGTCCACCCTGGTAGGTTTGAGGTATTTGAACTCCTTGCTGGGGTGGCATTTGTTGTTCCACAGTTGAAAATGTGTGCTGGTTTGGTCCCATTTGAGGCCTGATGTGCTGTGCCATTTGCTGCCCCAACTGCTGCATGCCAGGTCCCATTTGTGAACCAAGTTGTTGTCCACCTTGTGGTAATTGAGAGCTATTTTGTTGAGCAACCTGTGACACCTGTTCAGCATGCTGTTGTGATTGTGAAGTAACTTGTGACCCTGGTTGCTGTGTGTTATGTGTCATTTCATGTGCCTGTTGACCAGGAACTCCATTCGGCTGCCCAGTCCTTGCACCAGGTATTGGAGCCAGCTTAGGTGCAGAGGGCACAGGTGGCGGGCCTGTTGGCAGTGGAGGCAGCAAAGCATTAGGTTTCTCATATTGTGTGACATTGGTTTCAGGATTCCAATAATACAATACACCGGTGCTCCCGTCAACCAAGCCTTTCCAAGGTTCAGGCAATGTTGGATCAGCTGGAGCATAACGAGGTCCCAGAGCGTCCGGACCTCCCTCAGCAGCCATGCTTAACAGAAGTTACAACCTAGAAGTTCAGAAATGATCACAGATTAGCTCCCTTTATACATTGTACAAGAACCATGAGCAGAAAATAAGACAAAGCTCACTTGGATGCCAACATAATCTTAAGAAAAAGGTCACATCAGTTAGCAGCTACAATTTTCACTTATGCTTTTATTGTGAATAACTATAACATTATATGAAAGATCTAAACAACAATATAAAAAACGACTAGAACACCAGCCAGCGGCAGATTCTCTTGAATATTTAAACCCCCTTCTGTAAATTCATTCACACAAACCGAGACTTTTCCTCTTGCTGGATCCTAAACATCAAACCTTATCTCATTCTCTCCGGTCAAAGGTATACACGATCTTATTCTTTCCAAGTCATTTGTGTACCAACACGAAAGCATGGTATCATTAGTGCTTTGGAGAGAAAGAAGTGATGCAGGTAGATCCATAGGTAAGCAAATATGTATGAGCTATGCTTTTAATTTTCATATGTAAACTTGAACTCATTAACATTGATATTTTGGAATTTGTGCTAGTTGTCCTCAATGCGGTGAGTCCTTTATTCTTACCTATTGTTAATAATGTGATTTCAAGTTTCAGTTATTAACCCCTGAATCCAATCCAACATATAAATTCCATAATTCTTGTGACAATTATAGAAACTAAAATACTCATAGTTTCATTAAAGAATTTAAAAACATCTTATAAGCAACTAAAATAACCTTCAAAGGGAGGGATTGGATAGAAGGCTGTACAAATTAGAAAGTTCAAAAGAATCAGCAACCAATATAAGATAAATAAAGATTTACCAGGCTACCAGCACATTAAGAGGAGGAAATCAGAGCAACATGTGAGAAGGGCAGGAACAATGGCACAAACAGGTCAAGGGAGGAGGGCAACAGTGCATACAACAGAGAAGGGAGGAGAAAAAGTAGTGACGGAGACTCGGCAAGAACAAGAGCAGAACCGGCTAGAGAAGCTAGAGAGAGCAGCAATGTGCACGATAAGGGACCCTTCGAGAAAAACGTTCCACCATAATCCCCCACATTGCCGCTGTCTCTTGCTGATGCTCTCCGTGTCACCATTATTGCTCACCCTCCTCGCTCTATTTATTTGTGTGTGCCATCGCTGTTGCCCTCTTCCCTCGCTGCTCTAGTCTTTTCTCGATTTTCTGGTAAATCTCTCATTTCCTTATCTTGGTTGCTAATTCTTTTGAACTGTCCATTGTACAGCCTTCCACCCAATCCCTATCTTTTTCTAGTTGATCAACCACTTATAGGTTATTTTAGTTGCATACAAGATGTTTGATAAAACTCTAAAACTATAGGTATTGTAGTTGGAAAACAATGTTGTCGTTTATGTACATAACATGTTACCAATAGCTGAAAGTTTATGTCATCATCCATTGTTTGAATATTTTATGTGTTGGACTTTCAACTCCTTTTTTAACATCTGTATACGAGCATTTTGAAAATACATGATGTTCTTGAATACCTATTTGGTACCCTCCAAAAGGTTTTGTTCAGCCTTTTTGGTTTACAAAATTCAAGAACACATTAACCTGTTCTCTTATCTTGCTTAGAAGTTCAGATAATTTTCCCATCAAGAGTTTGAACAAGTGTGAAACAATTGACTCTTCCTATACTTTGCTACTCATGTATTCTTGATATCTTGCATAAAGATAATTGAACATTTCAAATGCCAGATTGAGTCATTAAGATTTGGGAGAAATTTTAATGTCAATGATTTCGATGAACTTCATCTATGTTGTTAGGAACTTAGGATCTGTATTCAGTTTGATTTAACAAAATTGACACTGGCTGTTGCTACCAAACACAATACTACAAATTATGAACAACCTTTGGACGTTTGGTGGCTTGATATGCCATGGACAAAGTCAGGGAACACACAGTTCATACAAAAGTGGCACCGTTAAGAGCATAAGCTGACAAACAGTTTCGGAAGTGTACTCTGAATAATACATGGTATAACAGGGAAAACATCTTTTGTTCTGTGATTTTCGTATACCAACTTCTGCCACATAACAATGTACGCGGACACCCAATAGTACAACACCTCTTAGCATTTAGCTAGCATAAAAGCGAGACATTCAGTTGACCAATCCATCAGATAAGAACGATGCATAAGGATTTCAAATAAATAATAGAGACTAGTTTATTAATCATAAAACGAGAAAGAAGACCAACTCAAGCAAACTAACTGCTTGGATAAAATCGAGAAAGTTGCCTCAATGAACAAATTGTATAACAGTAAAACAGCAGATTCAAAAATCAAAATAACAACAGAACAACGGGTCAAATCGAATCAACAAATTCTTTGGTAAAAATAAAGAAAGCCATGGTCACACAAAAGTAGGAAGGCCAAACAACAAATCGAGAAATCAAACAACCTTACCTCCGATTAGCAGGCGGTGAGATAGCAGCGGCGTCGATTTGTTTAGAGTGAGAGAAAAGAGGCGTCGATGATGCAGAGAAAGAGTGAAGCGATTTGTTTGTACAAGGGTAGGGTGTAAAACGTACTCCCGAAAACGATTCATCGTATTACGGGGGTGTTTGGGATTTCTTATTTAAAACAACTTATGCTTTTTTGTAAAAGTGCTTATTAACTTATGAGGTATCAAATTGGAGTTTTGTAAAAAGTGTTTGGATTAGTTTATAGCGGTACCAAACTGCAATAAGCTGATAAGTTGTTTTTTAGTGTTTGGTAAATTTTGCTTATATATGTAAAATGACCAAAAAGGACAGGCTTCTATATTATTGACTTATAGGAGTGTTTGGGTTTGCTTATTAACTTATTTAATTTTTTAACATATAAAAATTTATTTTTCATCATTTATAAT